CGGGCCCGCACCTCGCGGGGAGCTCCGCGGGCGGTCGCGGCGACAAAGCGATGTGTCCGGCCCCGGGAGACTGGAAACGGAGTTAGTCTGTAGAGGAAAGAATGGCGCGCCGCAGCCTAAAGTGTTTCCTTGTTTATAATCCTGCGAAACTTTAGTTCTGGGTCAGGACGTTGCTGGTAGAAGCTGAACAGAAACCATCTGCCTGTCCGAGGCTGTCGGGCATTGCAGTGCAGCGGAGCTGCGGTGTGGCTTTTGGGGTGGGGGGGGGCCGGTTGGCTTTGCTCGTTTTCAGACGGAAGGCGAGTTCGGCTTCATGGACTAGGATGAGGGTGGAGGGTTTTATCGCCCTTGTTTAAGGAACCAGAAAAATGTCTTGGAAAGTAAATCATTGATCACTGAATCATGCAGAGCCATGTGTAGGTGTGCCACTCTTCGGGTGAAAACCGGGCTTTGTCCAGCACCTGGAAATGAAAACCCTTGAGGCTGAATGCTTCAGGCGAGTTTCGGGTTTGTTCGTGGGGATTTAACAACATTTAATCATTGTATTTGCACAATATTAAAATGAAATACAATAGGGGAGGATCTGATCAAAACTGAAGAAGCCTTATTAAAGGGTCTTTCACCTGCATGGAATCGTAAGCAAAGTTTTATAATCAGCTTGAAGATGAGCTGAATACTGACACTGAGTTAGCAGATGAGATCACATATGTATTTGTATACACCTCTCTCCTCTAAATGAGTTACTGCCATGCCACAGAAGAAACAGAATTTAAGGTAGTCCCATGTCCTCTTTCCTCCACACTTGCCCATTTTATACCCCCAGTGCCGTCTGACTTTCTGTAGGTAAGTTCAACGTGCAGCGTACTTAACAGCTGTTGAAAAATGGAGTTACTATTTCATCTCTTTATTTTCAAAAACTTTCCGTTCTCTAGAGGGAAGCTTAGTGATATTTCACGTATGAATAGTTCAGTGTGTGAGATAACAAAGTACTTAAGCCCTAGTTTGGGTGAACAGAAATACTTAATTTAACTTCAGGTATTTACCCGCTGTCTGATCTTGAAAAGCTTCATCTCTCTGTGGTCTGTTTCCTGATGTGTAAAGTAAGGAGGATGCATTTGCCATCTGAGAATGGCGGAGGAAAAGAAAAGTTTAGAAATTAAGAATTCAAATTAATCCGTTTTACTTGCCTTTGTAGAAGTCACTATGATCTTCTATTTTCCAGAGAGATTTTGACATTTCTTGGAAGTGCTCAACTACTTACTGTATGAACACAGGTAAAGGTTGTCTTGTAATGTTCTAGTATTCCTTAGGATGGAAGAGAGAAATAAGCACAGAAGAGTATACTTTGGGCATTAAATAATAAAAAAATTCTAGAATAGCCATTTTTCTCTTTAGGAGAAACTTCTTCATGCATCATTTTAATATGCAGAACTTCAGTCCTCTCTAGTTATCTGGATCTAAGTACTTAAATTAATAGCTGGAGTAGCACTGAATTTTGCTTGTGGCAGTAGCTGGAATCTTTACAACCTTATCTGTACTGAGTAATTATTCATGACTTAATGTGAAAGCTATTTACAGCAATGCTCTTTTTCTTGGTTTCAAGAGACATATTTTTTGATTTTCATGTGTTGGGGTTGATTTTTAAAAGCACGCCACACAACGAAATCTAGGATTTATCAACAACCACGTACCAGATTCCCAGTACGTCTGCTGAGCAGGCAGACGTTGTTTATTTGCTCCTTAACTAAACTGACTTGAGACTCTTGTGCTGAAAGTGGAGTGAAATCCTGACTCTGAATCCTTGTGCTTGTTAGGAGCTTCTGTTAGTGGAAGCCAGTTCTTTTTTTAATAGTGATTATGCCAATCTTCTTGAGCCTATATCTTGTACCATAAGGTACGCTCCTATAAAAAGACCCCTCTCTTACTTTTTTAAGTAGCTGCTGACACGCTCTCGTTCGCGCTGTAGTAACACGCTGAGCCGTGTGGGGATGTACTGCCAGTCTCTAGGCTGGCCTAGCCCCAGTTTCACAGACCTCTGTCTCCGTGTTCTAGCGATGCCTGGTACCTGTTTCTCACTTCTGCTAGGTGTTGGGGAAGGAGGGAGGAATTTACTCAAATGCTAGCAAAGCTCTCTCTCCTCTGTCTAGCCCCTCTCGCACACTGCCAGTCCTGCACCCGCTTTCTGGAGGAGGCCGAGATGCTTTGCTGCAGCCCTGCCATCAGAACAGCATCCAGGGGCTGCCCTGACCTTCTGCCTGATTGACCTCTCTGCTGGCCCCTCCCTGCACACGCAGGCATCCCTACTGGAAGGGTTGCTTCTTTTTTCCCCCACAGATCAGTGTTTTTTTACCTTGGTAATTTCAGGAAGATAAGTCACAGCATCCCCTAGAGCGCAGGTGCTTTTTGTAGACTAAGGTGGCGTTACGGGAAGTGGCATGGGGTGTTCATCTCTGCTTATTAAATAGGAGTTATCATGCCCAGGAGTAGCGTTCTTGTCGATCTCTGTAGATAATAGGAAGAAGAGTTAGTTTCTAAGCTTCACAACTCCTGAGTGTTTGTCGGAGCAAAGGTGCCCTTTACCTGTGGCACCACGCTTGGCTCTTGGATAACCTCTGAATTAATGCGTTCAGATGTTGTTAACATCTGCGTGCTTTGGGTATCGGACATTTCACTGTGTTGGGCCCTCTGTCTTGCTACCATGATTGAAAGGATGCTGCCTGTTTATATTCCTTAAGACATCTGAAGATTGCAAATTTTTTAAAATTGTATTACGATTTTTTTTAATGGTATTATGATGAAAACATTGTCACGAGACTATATTGTTGGCTTTTCTTTTTAATGGTAGTTATTGGGAGGAATGGGCACAAGGTTGAAGAGCTGCACCACATGGCGAACCAGCTCTCTGTTGCCAGGAGCATCTCCTTTGTCGTCTGCGGATTATAGTGCTGAGACTGTTAAATTCTGTAGTAGTGTGTTTTGCAGATCTGTGCTGTGAGTGACTCCTGCTCCTGATAAAAGGAGGAGGGCAAAGCCAGTATGATTACTGATAGCAGCATGCCTTGAAATGTCTGCTTTCTAGTTGATAAAATACGTGAAAATACTGATCAATCATTGATAAACACTGTGATGCTTTGAAAAGTGCTATGAAAGATATCTGTGAGGTTCAGATGATGGCTGACTGTGTATCAGGAATGTTCAAAACGTCAGTGTATTTGTTTGGAGATGTGTTTTTTGTGTTGGTTTTTTTTTTATATCCACGTATATCTCTTAGGTACTGTTGTTTATGGTAGAACGTGAATGAAAATGCAATAGCTTTCCCCAAATCACTTGATGTTTGGACTCTTATTTAAGACTAAAAGCATCTTAACACCTTTTTAAAGTTCAGTGAGTTATATAGGCAGTGTTCAGGTAAGTAATATGGGGAAATAAATTCTTATTCCAAAATAAGAGTGGAGAAGAAGTCCATATATCAATGTAAACTCTCATAAATGCAGTCTATTGGGTAAAATAAAACCAAATTAAATTATACTGAAAATTTAGTCTCTGAAGTCATTCTTTCTCTTTTGTTTTCCAGTATAAGTATAGAGACCTAACTGTACAGGAAACGACCAGTGTTATTACTCAGTACAAGGACCTCAAACCTGTCATGGATTCATATGGTCAGTGTGGGCATGAAAAAATTTTTGTTATTGAATTGTTGATGGTTTAAATACATCAGGGTTTTTTTTTGGGGGGGGGGGGGAAGGAGAATAAAACTAGAAAACTGAATTTGAGTTTCTCTTCTTGATCTTTGACATCGATACTTCCTTAGAAACACAGATAAGTTATTTTCTGAAATAACCTTTCTATATGACTGAGTCTGTCTAGTATTCCAAGAAGTGTTGCATTTTTCACAGCTTAGCTTTTAGTTAATTCCTCAGTGATGCCATATCAGTTGATGTCCTGAGATTGCTCTGTCTTAAAAAATTCAGCTTTGCTGTCATACAAAGATATTTTTGGAGTTCTATTTAGAAAATACTGTAAGTCAATAAGCAAATTCTTCATTGAAAGTGAGCAATTGTGACAGTCCTTAAGAGTATGAAGAAAACATAGTCAAGTATGTAGAAAACTGGTATGAGGGGTTTTGTAATGTAAATTAACAGTGACAGTCACTTTTTGTTAGCTGTTTTAAAGGCTCTGAATAAATTTGACCGCCTTAAATGAAGGTGATATCTAGGGTCAGCTTCAGAGGCTGAGGGCATGGTTTCACCATATATACGCTGAACCATCAGAGCTGCAGAGGTCATCCTCCTTCTGATTGCTTTTTTTAACTGTCACCTGTGGGGTTCCTCTTTGGGCTAATTTGTGTTACTAATACACCATCAGAGATTTTGTAGTCTTCTGCTTTCTAAATTACAAATCTGGATTGAGAAGTCTTAAGAAGGGATGTGGACAGGTAAAAGATTAGTTTTAACTTGAAAAGCTGCAAGCCAGCCGCTGTCACAGAAATAAAAATTCATGCAGTGACTGGAGAATCAAGAACAATAGTGAAAGGACTGTGATTGGAATGGCGTACGCCACGATGATGATCAGAATTCTAGATAGCTCTGAGCTGTAGCAAGAAGCCCATTTGTGTTACCCAACTCTTTCTTAGCTACCTCTGAAAGGCTGAGCACAGAACCACTTACAGGTAATTGGTACTATTTGGAGCAGTGAAATGAGCAACAGGAAAATGTTTATATTGCTGTTGAGATAATTTTCATGTTTATGTTAATAATTAAATATGTACCTCTGTTTAAGTCCCAACATGTTCTACCTGCCTTTGCAGAACTTTGGCACCAAAAAATGGTACACGATAAGCTACGTTTGAAGTGTGACTAGAAACTTTCAGGTGAAATTAGGAAAATAAAAGCTTTATTACCAGAAGTTGGTTTATTCAGCCAAGAATAATCGATGGGATTGAAAGGATAGGAAAACTAAATACAGCAACTCAGTACGTGAAGGTTAGGGTTCCTATGCAGTTTGTGAACTAAGGCTAAGATGTGGCAGTGAGTTCAGTGCTATGCATTTCTTCCGAGTATTACTGTTCAGTTAAATTACCTTTACTGATTATGTATTAAATGCCTATGGCCCAGTAATGCTCTGTATTCTTGCTGACCTGTTTGTTTTGGGAAAGCATAGACAGTTCTTTCTAATCTTAAAATGACAAGGTGGGTTTTTTTAGTTCAGATTATCTTTGCAGCAATTTGTATGATTTGCAGTTTGTATCATTCCAACATGTTTTACTTGGTCTCTGAATGAGGAAACAGTTTTTTTTGCAGTGAAGGTAGTTTGACAATAATTAGTCATTCATTTCTCAGGAGTGGGTGATTCATAAGAAGTTAACCTGACTGTAGACAATCATTTGCTAGTCCATTAATGTGCAAGAGCAGAACCTTTCAAGCTGAGTTTATATATATATATATATATATATGTAACTTCTGAATATTTATGCTAATAAATAGATGGAGAATAACCTAAACAGAAATTAATGTAGCAAATATGTTTGTTTTAAAAATATTGTTTGTTCTCTTTCAGTTTTTAATGATGGCTCTTCCAGGGAGTTGATGAGTCTCAGTGGAACCATTCCTGTGCCTTTCAGAGGTAGGCATTTATTATTATCATCACTACCATTATTTTCCCAAATTACATGAAAAACTATTTAGATTTGTCCCATTCAACTTCTCTACTTTAGTGATCACTATTTTCTTGAAAATCCTTTACTTGCCCAAAGTATAATATGAATAGAGAACCATTAAAGAAATGGTTCTCTATTTTTGCTGTGGAATAAAATTTTAACGTTGAGCATTGCTTCTTCAGTCCTGTACAGCTCTAGAACATCTGTGTTCTTCCAGTACTGCGCGTTTTTCAAGCTTCCCAATTGAATGAGTGTTGCAAACCATTTATTGCTACAGCTAATGATAATTCAGATTAGGGTCTAGTAATGTTGCATTGTAGAAAAAATGAGATAATATATTAGTGGTAGATTATAACTGTAAGTCAAAGTTAGATTGTTCTTAAAAATGTGGAGTTCATAGCCATATTTTGAGGTCTTTGTTTAATGTTATTAGTAGATTTGGACTTTGGCATCTGACTCTGTGCAGCTGAATTTACCAGGTTTAGGAGGTTTTTTTATAAGTCTGGATACAAGAGGACAGTTAAAGAGTTGGAATAACTTTTAAAATCTTTCAAAATATCTCTTCTAGGTAACACATACAATATCCCAATTTGCTTGTGGCTGCTGGACACCTACCCTTTCAACCCCCCAATTTGTTTTGTTAAACCCACTAGCTCTATGACAATAAAAACTGGGAAGCATGTTGATGCAAATGGAAAGATATACCTTCCTTATCTGCATGAGTGGAAATACGTAAGTATAGGGAACTCGAAATCCTCAGCTTGCTCAGTTCTGCATTCCTTTAGATAGTTGTATCATTTTTAACAAAAAACATAATCCTCTTTATTTGAGATATTAACCTCTTTTTTTTTTTTAGTGAAAACAACTGCTTATTATTTGTAATATCTTGAAGCTCAGGACGTTGCCTTCTGTTGCCTGGTTAGTTGCATCTTTAGTTACAGTTTGTCTGATTAACCAGTGCAGCACAGGCATCCTTCCCTGGCAGGACACCAATATGAAGACCTCGAGATAAGAATATTTAGAGAAGGAAAATTATAAATTCTGTGAGACATATCTGGGCTGAAGTTAATCTCTGTGACTAAAATGGACTTGTATGAGCCCTTGGACTTCTTTATGTACAAGTCCTGGAGCTTCAAGTATATGGATACATTTGCTTTACCAATAAATAAAGGCATTGGGTAGTGCAGGCCTCATAGAAGTTTTGACCAAAACACAGACTTGTAAAGAAGATAAAATGTGCTGACAAGCTCAGAAGAATGGTACAAGATGCATAGTTCTGTAAAAAATTATTAACAGGAATAAATTTATTAAGCATGGGTGGTAGTTCGCATGGTAATAGTGGAAGAGGACTGCCTGGATCGGGATGTAGGTCTTGCACAAGCAGGAGGGTCATCTATGATATGGGTGATACAGAATTCATTCTGATTGAGAAGTTGGTGAAAATTGAGTGGATTACAGAGCTATGAAAATTTAGAAGTAGGGTATTTAATCTGGTGCTGAATTCATGCCACTTGTCCTTATTTTGACAAAATGAAATCATGCCTATATTAACTGTAGTTATAAACTGAGAAGCCTAGTTTAGCTGTATTTGAAGGAGGTTCGTGCCACTTCTTAGTGGGTTACAGTGTTATTTCCATTAGCCGTTCTGAACCTGAGCAAAATCTGTGTGCTGTATGAAATTGAAATGTCTGAAAACTGAATGATCTGTATTTTTTTCATCTTGGACGGTGGATTTAAGTTTTAAAAAATTATTATAATCCGTCATTGCACAGTCATCGTCAGTCATTTATTGCCCTGCAGTTGATATGGAACCATGTATTACCTAGTGTATTTTGAGTGTAAACACTACTGCAGCTGTATTTTGCTCTACCATTTTGAACACTAGCTGACTGGGTTTGGAATCTGTAAAGGAATCAATATAGGAAGTTAAATATGCATGTATGTATATAAAAATTTAAAAAAACACAAACAAAAGGATGACTTTTGAGATCTGATGGAATGGTACCATTTTGTTGCTATAGTCAGTAAAACTGTCTGTTAACAAAATTAACAACTTTTGATGTGTTTACCCTCACAGCCCCAGTCAGACTTGCTAGAGCTGATTCAGGTCATGATTGTCGTGTTTGGTGAGGAACCTCCAGTCTTTTCTCGGCCTACTGCTTCATCAAGCTACCCACCATACCAGGCAACAGGCCCACCAACTAGTAAGTGGTCACGGCCACTAATTTCTACAAATACTCCTACTAATATTCCAGAGTGTATTGTTGCTCTGCATAGATTGTCAACAAACGATGTATTCTGCTCTAGAGTGACTTTCTATTGCTGGCTAATGAATTCACCTGTCCTTTACTTGACCTTTTTGAACTATGTTGGAAGAATGTGTGTGTGTTTTCAACTTTTGGAAGGGAGGGAAAAATCAAGTTTGTATTTAAAAAAACAAAACACATCATCCCCCTCCAAGCCCCTCAAAACAACCAGTAACCTGTCAACATTCAGAGATAACTTTAAAAAGAGGCTGTTCAGATAACTTTGTATCTTATTTTTTTTGGCTTCTGGTAATATAAGTCCATCTGTTAAGTTTCCTGCAACCATTGATTTCATAAGCAAAAGCATACTGCTTGTGTTTCCTATGCCTGTGCTCCTGGGTTTTGTTTGTTTGTCGTTTTTTTTTTTAATAATTGCTGACTGAGTATGAAAAAAACCTGCCTTGTGATTTTTCATCCACATCTGTTGAGTTGGCACTCTGACTTAGTAGCCATTCTTATTTTCTTGCAAAAATTCTGAAGACTTGTTAAAGTCTTATTTGTTTAAACTTCTGGAGACATCTCGTTTTAAAGAGTGGAGATGAGTGAATAGGGGACAAAGGGGAAGCAGGAAACAAAATCCTAGAAATTCTTCCAAGAGGAGACTCTGCATTGAGTGGAAAAAAAAACACAGTAGAGTACATCTACGCAAGCCAAAAACTGGGACAGGAGGGGAGGGGGAGCAGTTTAGCTGCAGGTTATTTAATATTACAGCAGTTCTACATTAGTTTAATGGTAGAGTGACTGTATTGGGTGTTAGATATTTTTACTGTATTTTTAAGGCTGTGTCTGTTTTCTATTGAAATACAGCTTTTATCAGATCATAGTGTTACATCTGCAAAGCTGAAGTACTGTTCATTACAACTTGCAGTGGAAAGCATTTTTAACAAGGTCTTAGGTTCTTAACACGTGAGAAAAGGGGTAGCAAACAAAAATGGCACCATTAGAGATAGCTAAAGGTAAGTGGTTGGGACTTCTTGGCTTGTCCAGCGCTAGCCAGCTATAAGAGCACTAGATGATTCTGCTGTTCTGATTTTCCAGGAACAGTGGGTGTCAGTGTAAGTACAGTTTTAGTAGAGGCTGTGAGCTGTATTGTACTTTAAGGAAGGACCAAACACACTCAATTACTCTTGTAGTCACTCCATGCTAGCATAGCTGAAGTAATTGTAGTGGAAATGTTTCAGGATTTTCCTGAAACAGGAATATAGCTACTTAGTTTTACTAGTGTAATCAGTTTTTCCTTATTTTGCAGACGTGTAGGTTTGTTTTTTTGTCGTTTTAGGGTTTTTTTAAGTCTTAGATATGCGGTTCAAAAAAATATGAAGCCCTTTTTAAAAAATTGAATCATTTGAAAGCATTCAAGGATGAAAAGAGCTTAGCGCTCTTAAAAAAAAGCTGTTTGATGTAATATTCCTAAAACAAATTACTGGAACTGTGGAATAAATACATTCAAAACATAATTTTTATAATATAATTGTCAAATTTCTAAGCAGAAACTTAAAATTGCTAAGAGTATTAAAGCCTTAGACATTTATATGTGCTGATAAAAGGGTTTTTTTAGAGTATGTCAGAAATTACTGGATAAAACACGATTGGATTGTTAAATAGCTAATCCACTGTTGTAAAGTCTGGCTGCTCTCAAAGTACTTGAATTTTACACTCATTATTTAGTGAATAGAGAACAATGGCTACATTGGAAAGATTATTTTCTTTTTTCAGGTGTTATATAAGACATGGAAACAGCTCTTCAGGTGTGTCATCTTTAATAACATGCCATTTTATTGAGTCCCCTAGCTGCAGAGGCTTTTTCTTATGTAGCCACATTTTACTTGGCACAGCTACTCATTGTGGATTTTTAAATTGATAACCATTTTTATCTGTTAGTTTAAAGTAATGATTAAGAAAAAAAAATAAATTGAAAGGTGTTCTAGCCAGTTGTTCTAAGGAATGTGTAATTGACTTCAATTACAGTTCTTATACTCTCCCTTCAAACAAAATACTCTTGAAGATATTATAACCAAAGTTGGTAGGTAGAGGTATTATCTTCAGAAATGCAAAATTTGCCTGTGTTTTGTGAAAACGTGCTTGGGTACAGAAAGGAAATTCTAATTGGTCCATACATGGAGGGAAGGTCCACTGCAGTTTAGTCTTCACCGTGTTTGGAGGGGAAGCAGCTGCCTTGGTCAGTTGGCAGCGAGATGGCTCGCAACAAACGGCTGCGTGTATCCCTCTTGCCAAGCTGCACAAGAGCAGCGTGGGAAGTGTCTGGGAGCGTGGTGAGAAGTGATGGTGTTGGGATGCAGGGCACACGTCGCTGAGGGCCACAGAAGGACTTCTCTTACTCTTGTTTCATTATGTTATACTGTATTCTTTGTTCAAGAATATTTTGAAAAGCATCTAACCGTAGCGTAAGTACATCTCACTGGTATGATCTTAATAGATATTAAACTTCTGACAAGTAAAAATATACAAAATCATTATTTTATTTAGCTTCCTATGTGCCGGGCATTCCAGGTGGAAAATCTACCTATCCAGCAGGAAGCACTCCAAACCCGAGGTAAGGACCCCTTTAAACCATCATCATTTACATAATAGACAATATCACTGGATAGTATCTAGTCTTATTTGTATTTTCTTATGGAATATTTGTTGTATAGTTATCGTGTTAGCAGGTGTTTTCTTTTTTACGTGAGGACTGAATTCTTGTCAATAATCAAAAGAAAGTTTGAGAAAGATTTAGCTTTCTTAGCGTTGCTTACTTCAAATGCAACGTACTTGGGTGGTAAATATATTTTGAAAATTATTACCTAACTCCCAGACGTCACCTCGCTTCACTCGCGGAACGGATTAGTTTTTATAAGGTTGATACATTTACATGCTATAGAAAGAAATGTACCCCTACAAATTGTGGGGTTTTTTATTATTTGAAGGGCACAAAATTGTTTTAAATGCTTTTTATTAATATAAAACAAAAGTTTTGCTTTAAGAATATTATATAGTAGTTTGGAATACAGCTTTTGCAGAAGACTTGCAGGTCTGTCTTAGCAAATACTAACGTGCTTTGTGCTGCCCCCTAGTGTGTACCGACATTTTTTCACATCATACTTAATTCTTTTTATTATTAATATCCTTATGTCCTGATTTTGTGTTAGGAGCACGTGAGGCATTTCTGTATGTAGTATATAACATTCTGATTAAAAAAAAAAAATTAAAACCCTGTAAGCATTGGAAATGCGGAATGTTATGTTTTAACAAGTGAAAAATGGAGATTTTGCTCAGTTCTTACGGCAAGTTTTTTCCTCTGAAAGACGTTTTTTTTAAAGTGATCTGAATGTTTGTACAAGAATGAAGAATAGAAGAACTATTTTTAAAATCATATAATTTATGAATGAACAGAAATATTTTTAAGAACTATTAAATTTGCAGTTATCTGGAGAGGCACAGAATATGCTTATTTTATATTTTACATGTTTTCTTGGACCATTTTTTTTACTTACAGCCGTGATTAATATTCTGCTGTATGCAGGTGTTTGTCAGTGTAGTACTGATTAATTTGAGTCCTTGTTTCAGTTGATAGTAAATGTATTTTAGAAAGGTATTGTAGACCATCATGTTATACGTCATCTTGCAATTGTTTCAGTGAAAAAATGAATGGTTTTGCTTTCCTTCATCATTTGGAGCAGGGCTGAGAATTTCTGGAAGAGTTTCATCTTGCAACCATATTTTGCACAACATTTTTAGGTTTACATAAAGCAGTTAAGCAGTCATCTTGTTAACTGTTCTCATATTTTAAAATATTTAATATTTACTAGATTGAAATTGCTGTTTGTGAGTTTGTAGCTAGAATAATTTCTTTTGGATACTTTTGGGGTTTTATATGACAAGTTAGAAATTGCATGGCAAGATTAAGAGATTGAAGGGAATTTGGAATGATCCAAATGCTTGTCCAGACAATAACTAGATGGAGTTTCAGATAAAACGGTATCTTCTTAAATCATACCAGAAATATGAATTGTGAAAGATGTTACTATGGATAGGAAAAGAGAAAAAGTGTAACTTAGCCTGCAATTTAAGCATTTTATTATGTAAACAAATGTTCAACATGGTGACATAAAGATAATATACATGGATGATATTTTACAAATAGCTACGTAACATTAGCATATCTCTCTTTGTCAAAGCAGCTACCCAAACTATCCTTATCCAGGTGGTGTTCCATTTCCAGCAACCACTAGTGTTCAGTACTACCCTTCGCAGCCTCCTGTCACTACTGTTGGTGAGTAGCTTTGAAAGGATTTCTCTGAAGTGAAGCTTCCCTCTGTAACTGATATGTAAAGAAAGGCCATGTAAAAAGGAATGTATTGTTCTTAATCTGACCCTCAATTTAAAACAAGTTAATCAAAGGAAGAATAAAATACATGTTATGTCCTTCACCTTATATTATATTCAGTGAGAAACTTGGTAAATTCCTGGTTTTGTGCAGTGCATGGTGTGTGCCCTAGGAATGTTTTGAAGAACACTGCATGTAACCACCTTCAGTTTATTTCTCAACCTTTAACTGTAGGTGACTTTTGATTGTCCGAGTTGCTCTGCGTTCATGGTCTTGGTTTATAAAAGTGGTTTTGTCCTCATTTAATCATCTACTGGACTCACTGTATTTACTCTTGGTTTATTACTTTCTTTACTCCAAAAGTTGTAGCCAGTCTAAAGCAGAGGTTTCCAGCGCATTTGGAATGAGCTTCACCGAGTTTCTCCAGCATCTTCACTGTTGCTTCTTAATGGTCCCTACTTGTTATTTCCTCCTTTCTTCCCTTCAGCAGCAAGGTCTAGGGTGTTAACACGTACCTTTTCCCAGTCTGCTGCTCCATGGCCCTGTGCTGGCAAAATACACGAGCTTGGTTTCCACTCTGTGCCTCACTTCCAGTATGTGTGTAACGGATTTGGAACCCGTGATGAAGGTCATCTGGCTAAGTAGGAAGTGGGTGCAGTAACTTTAAAATTGGATGATGGTCCTTTTGGAACAGTTATATGGTAAGAACTTAGATTCTTTTGTGGCCTGATTCAGAGTATCAGTCATTTATAGTCTCTTGCCCCATAATTTAAAAGTGCATCCATAGGTTCTTATTTAATGTGCGAACTCCCAGTTATTCATACACACTCTTCCCTCTGGAACTGTGTGTGGTTTGAAATTTTCATTCACACAAATGGGAAGAAAGCAAGTTCACAGCTTGATGAAGGAAGATAAATGCTTCTACTTTACTCTTAAGTATTTGAGGATTTGTTCTGTTGTTACAGAATTGGGAAACAGCATTAAGTTGTATGTTGTAATCTTCTTATGCCTGATCCCATCCTTTGTGTCCACGTTCTTTCAGCCTTCTGAATTAAAGTCTTTTCTGGAAGTTGTTGGCCGTTTCAGTGGTTGTCTCCACTCTGAGGTGATGTGTGCCTACCATGCACGCTGCAAGAAAGCTGCTGACCCTCTTAAGTTGCTCAAACAGTACTCTGTGTTGGAGGGCTGTAGTTGGGTCCTTGAGAGTTGATGGTCTCCACTGGTTCTCATGTAGGGAGGTGACAAGAACCTTTCTAGGGAACATGGATCTTCTGCAGCATCTTTCTTAAACAGATCCAGTTTTGCTTTTATGTGGTAGAGAGTTAATTTAAAATATAGATATGTCCTATTTAATTTCTTACCCTCATTTTCATCCCAGTGAAGATGAAAGGAGGTGAAATATCTGCCAAATATCATAGAAGGCTCAAGTCCTGTGTTAGATCATTTGATACCGTGTTGTAATGTCAGATTTTGTGGTGGCAATTTAACATTAGACTGATTCGTTTGATGCAGCTAGGTAAAAGTCATAGGCCTGTTTTATATGGTTTCTCTCTTGTGCCAAATGAAATGCAAACGTGTCTCTTTAATCATCCACTGTATTTACCGTACTGTTTGTTTTTTTACAGAACAGTATTTTTTTCATTCAGCTGCAGGGGTTTATTTCCTAAACAGATTTCTTGGCTGTGATTTATTCTGATAGTTTATTTTGGAGCATGTCAGGTGCTACAACTGGAGAGTTTTGTGTGGGTGGTGGTGGGGTGTTTCCTGTAGTGAGCTTAGTTTGAACTGAATGAAAATACTTATTCAGAGGAGCTTAAGTTTTTAATAGTAGCTGTTTTTTCAAGCAGTCCTCAGGCTTTTTCTTTCTGTTCAATCATCTGCCATTAGTTACCTTTCTGATGCAGTTACTAGTTTGATGATTCCATAAGGTCACTCCTGAAACCAGACTCTGCCTGCTAAAGGTTAAGGGTTTCAGTGCTCTGGATTTAATGGCTGTGTGCCATAAAATCTTCCCCAAGCTGGGCTAATTATGGAAGTGACAGAAAATGCTAAGGGTTCATGCTCTTTAAGAAGATACAGAAAATCTAATTGAGCTGTATTAGAATGATCCTTTATATTTTCAAAGACCTCTTTCCTATCTGTTGGCACTTCTGTGTGAACTTTCATTGTGTTAGGTGTATTGTGATGGTTTCTTTTCTTTCTTTCTCTGTCCTCCTTTACTGTTAAAGAGAGCCTTGTATAAAATCTCCCTGATTGAGGGATATCGGGGGGAAAAAAAGTAGATGGTTCATTCTGACTTTGTGCTAGAGAATAATTTATTATGTAAAATAAACAGTTACTGAAATCATGCTAATGCTATTCTTGAAGTGAAGTCAGGCTTTTTTGGTTTGATTTAAAATAAACAGTTACTGAAATCATGCTAATGCTGTTCTTGAAGTGAAGTCAGGCTTTTTTGTTTTGATTTGGAACATCTATGTTTACAATTGTCTTCTCTAAAAAGGAAGTCTTAGACAGTCAATAAACTCCTTGTGCCAGATAGTTTGACTGACTTGGTTTAAATTTTAGTTCTCAGTGTAGAAAGTACTGTTCTTTCCTTCTTTTCATAAGAAGCAGCAATGAAGAATTTCTGGGTTTGTGTGTTTGCTGCCATTTGGCAGCTTCTCTTGCTGATTCTAGTAGGTAGTTAACCAAATATTGAAAATTACCTTGTCGACTGGAAACAGTGAATTGCTTAAGACAGAACTGTAAATCAGATTAAGTATTGAGACATTTATATTTTCATAAGTCTATCTTGGCATCAGTGATGATTAAACCAGTCTCTCCAATAGTAAGTAGCTTATTTTTTAAAAATTGCACGTATTCTGGTGCAATTTATACGTAAGTAAAGTGCTCACATTAGTAATTATGGAAACCTGATGTTTTCTTGATTTTAGAAGAATTTGGTGGATTAATAAGCATGATGTGCATCTTCCCATAGTTCCTGTCATGTCATTTGCATAGCTTTATTTTTCCAGATACCTGACTTAATGTAGGTTTTGTGGACAGGACAGAGTAAAAAGCTGTGGGAAAATAACTGAAATTGGGGAAAAATGAGAAATACGCTGCCTGTGCTTCCTTGGGAAAGGGGCAGACTGGTCAAATTGACAAAGGCTCGAGGTGGCCCCCCGTTCTGTCCTCTATTGACACGATATTGTGTCTTAACATGACAAAAGCGTAGGGAAGAGAGAGGAATTTTTGCAGTCTTGCTCTGTTAGCAGCAGGAAGTCCAAAAAATCCTCTGAATGTTTTCAGTAATTCTGGGGTGTGCAGTCTTGTCAACAACAGTTTGCATTTGTTAGTATGACAATACCAACAGACACTCCAAATAGAAATTTTTTTTGTTTAAATTATGATGAGACCCTAACAGAAAATTGTTAAGGTTTTCCATTCAGATGCTTATTTCTAAAGGCAGAGGTTAGATTTTTAAACTGTGTTCTGGATTGTTGCTGATTATCAGGAAGATATCCATCCTACCCTAAGAACACTGTAATGCTGAAATTTCACTAAACAGCCCACCCTTTCCCGAAAAAGTGTAGTAAAATTATTGTAATCTTATTTCTGACTAATAGTGGTTTAGTTAATGAGTACTATCAATAATGTATTCAAAAATACGTTTATCTTAGTGTAATTTGCTCTGAAAGTATCAATCTTTGGACTGCTGTGTTTAAATGGCAAAATTAACATATGGTTTGAGTTGCTTGTTTGCTTTTGCCTCTCCTGAGGGCCTGTGATTATTAAGAGGGTGAAGAAGTCGATTGGATTTCAGCTGACTTGAGACACTTTTCTGAACCTTTGGGAGGGGAAAACAAAAGATACGCTAACGATTTTGTCTTTAGCTATGTAAGATTCACAAGAGCCATGATGAGTGTTTTTCCACTTTGTACTTTTTTTGAGATCTCAGGTACTGGGAAATATGATGTAGGTAATGCCGTAACAACTTTACGGGTTTGGTAACCGTGTCTCTGGGTGAAAAGATACTCTGGTAAAATTTCTTTTTGCAGATTTTCTTTCCAGTTACAGAACTTTAAATCTCTCTGTTTCATCCATAAAAGTTGGAATGTTTAGGCGCAAAACCTGCTATAATTCTTGCTGCTTTAGTAATTGTTACAACCCAACTGAAATTTACTGATCTAAAAGATGTGAGGCACAAATATGGGAAAACTGAGACTCTCCAGTTTTTCTCGTAGAAGAATGGTTGGTTCGTGATAAATACACGTACAATTCTGCAACCATTAGCCACTTTAGATTCTCAAGAACAGTCTAAATTTCCTGATCTGCAGACACACAACACTTTCTGTGGCAGATATCAAGGATTTGCCTTTCTATTTAGAAAGGTGTTAGTGGCAGACTCTTGAAGGTAGTCTCGTTGAAAGGCTGATTTGAAAAGTGATAGTAATATTCAGGCTTAAATGCAAAAGCCTCTCATGCTTCAGAGGGAGAGGGACTAATGAAATGTATTAGAAAATTTGTTTTCTTCTGTTATGTTTTGTAGTCTTGCTGCACTGAAGTGTGATTTAATAAACTGAAATTACAAGTTGTACCTAGCAATCAAAACAATCAAAAAAGGTAGCAACCTCAGTTGTTGTAACTCAGTTACATAGCACTCTCAGTTGCTGTTTAACTGTAACATTGATCATTTATAGAAGCTAGTTATATAATACTGGAACAATATTGGTTGGTAGTTCGTTTCACTACTACTAAAATCACTACCCTTGAGTTTCTGGGCACAGATGGACCAAGTGAAACTGGCAAATTGGTATACCTGCCGTCAAACTGTATGTCATCATCTTTGTCTTACACTTACCTAAAATAGCTATGCTTGCTTTTGGTAGAATCAAATTATACAACTTAATTCCACAGAATTTCTGTATGCTTGACTAATACTCTTTATTCAATTAACATTAAAGAAGTATTTTATCCAGAGAGTTTTTGCAGGTTCTTCATGAGTGCCATTACCTAATTTTATAAACCGTGCTCCCCGCTACCCTGCTCCAATTACAATACCATCCTGTAGAAGTTTAAAAAAAGAAATGGTAGGCCCAGTGTAACACTGAACATGCATCTAGAAGACTGCCATCTGATTTTAGTTTGCTTCAACATATCCATAAACCATATGCTAATAGGATTGATTAGCATTTGTCTCTCTGCTTTATAATCTTCTCATAAATGTTGCTTGTTAAAGTCAGATGACTTCAATAACAAATGTTCTATATTAATGCTGATTGTTTTACTGCCCTCCCATACCTGCCCTTGGATGGCTGAATGATAATAATCGTGAAACCAATTGGAAAGACTAGATGATATTGTAACTTTTTAATCACTTGATACTGTCCAGTAATTTGTTGCTTAAACAGACGCTGCTATTAGATCTTCGTAAATATAAAAGGGAAGCAGTTAAGATCTTTGAAATTATTTTTGTTAGCTTAGTGTTAATTGATTTTTATTAACTGTAAAAAAAACAAACCAACCAACCCACAAACCAGTAATCGGTAAGCCTCAAGATAAAAGTACCTTTAATCAAATTCACTATCTCAAGCCACCTGTTGCATTAATTGTGGTTGAGTACATGTATCTATTAATTTCTATAGAGTTTACCAGAAATTTATTCTTCTTTTAAATACTCAGACTGACAACATTTGTAGGCTTCAGGAGAAATAGTTGACTCATTTCTAAATTCAAGGAAGACTGTGAATATGGGAACGGTAAAGTGAATGAATGGATGCGTACTCTTACATTTACTTGTATATCTCTTAATATGTTTTATCTCACTGTGGTCTCTTCACTGCTTCTGAAAATTATTATGGAAAACAGCTTATTTTACTGTCTCGTATTGCTAAAGTACATACAGCAAGTTAGCCACTTTTTTTTTTTCCAAATTGGCTTTCTACTCAAGCCAGTGCAGAACAGAGTTAATTTTATGCTTGTGAATTTTCTTGCGCAGGACCCAGTAGAGATGGGACTATCAGTGAGGATACCATTCGAGCTTCCCTTATTTCGGCAGTCAGTGATAAACTGAGATGGCGGATGAAAGAAGAAATGGATCGTGCACAAGCTGAACTCAATGCCTTGAAGCGGACAGAAGAGGATCTGAAGAAAGGACACCAGAAACTGGAAGAGATGGTAACTCGCCTGGATCAAGAAGTGGTAAGCTGAGATGAAACACTTGCTCTGTATCTGAATATTCCTAGTAGTGAACAGAAGTATGCGATTAATTCAGTATTAAGCATTGGTAGAAATATCAAAGCTTCCAGTGTATTGCTTTTTAAATATATGTTCTCTTTGCAAGTTGAGGTAGGTGCATGTGTTCAGGCTGAAGCAAGTCAGAAATAGCAGTGATCATAAGATCATTGTCCTGCATATATCTTAAGAATGTCATTGTTCAGTAGCAGAGGAACAGTATTATTTTTCTCCATCCTCCCTGTGCAAGTTGTCAGTGTTGTGAGATTATGTCATAGTTGTGTCTCAGTTTCTGGATAATAATGTGGAACAGCAGCACAGGAGAACATTTCAGAGTCTTACTGCAGAGACTGATTTCAGTCACAGCCTCCTTGTGTAACCTGCAGACTTTTCCTTTCCCAGAGAAGAGTCTCCCCTACTCGGCATGCTCAGAAATTCTTGCAGTTTTTCCACGTCATCCACTTAGTCCATCTGCTCCTTGCATTACTGCTCAGGAGTAAGATTTTGGAATTGATGAGCAGTTTCTGAAACCAGCTCAGTGCTTAGATTTGCTTTAAAAAAAAAAAAAAAAAAAAGAAATTATTAATAAGGATAGAGAACAGGAGATACCATAATGTTACCGTATAAATCTATGATGTACCCACTTCAAATGCGGTGTGTAATTCTAGGCTTTCGTATCTTGGAAAGAAAGGACATAATGGAACTGCAGCTGTTTGATGCAAAGGCAAGAAGGATGATCCCGTACATCAGACACCTTTCATATAAGACATGACTAAGTAAGCTAGGACTTCAGTCTGAAAAAAAGACAGTGAGGACAGAGAGAGGGAAATATCTTAATGGTCTGTATGGCTTTGAGTGGTATGAGGAAAAACACAGTGGTGTACAATCTCTTCCAGTGTGTTAGCTGTGGGACATGAAAAATGTCAGGAGGCAAATTCGAAAGTAATAAAGGGAGATACTTGTCATGCAGATGTGGTTAAATTGTAGCTTTACCGTTAGTGGGTAAAGCCAGCATGTTTTGTTTCCTGTCAATACAGTTAAGCGTTTGTGTGATCCATGCTCAGCAAACTTGTATAGGAACTTACTGCAAAAGACACATATTTTCCAAAGAAAATAATTATTTTGGCTTTGCTTTTATTATCTTTAGCTAGTTTAAATGGTTATTTTTCCTTATGTCGCACCTTCACTTAAGACTGGTAGCATGCCTTCTCTACAGATATAAATTGGTAATGGATTGACATTATCTAAAACAGCCTTTAGTAGAGAAAGAATCAACTGGCATGTCTAAAAATCTTTCATCTTGACAGTTGTATCACAAGAAGACATTCAGCTCTGGAGACTAAGAAATAAACAAAAGCATCTTAATTGTTTTTAGGCTGAAGTTGACAAGAACATTGAACTTCTCAAGAAGAAGGATGAGGAGCTCAGTTCCGCCTTAGAGAAAATGGAAAGTCAGTCAGAAAATAATGACATAGATGAAGTAATTATTCCCACGGCACCACTTTACAAGCAGATCCTGAACTTATATGCAGAGGAAAATGCAATTGAAGACACCATCTTCTATCTTGGGGAAGCGTTGAGACGTGGAGTGATAGATCTAGATGTCTTTTTAAAGGTAGGTTTCTTGGAATGTTTTTAAAATGTGCATTTTAAATGTGTTTAAATACTTTCAACTCTTTTGTTCAGCTTATTAACGTTAGTGATTTCTCCACTGAAGAGGACCCTGTAAGAACATGAATACTTGTATGTTCAAACATGAGTTTTAAAAGAGGAATTTCAGAATTAAGATAAAAGACCAGTTTTAAAAACGTTATAGATATGAAGTCATTTATCATTAGATGGATGCAACAGTGTCAGAATAAGCTTTCCATTGGTCTTGCATCCTAATTCTGAAGAAACTAACTTTAAGGGTAATGGGAATATTCAGACAGCTTTTCACTTGCAGTCTATGGATGCATCTGCAGAGGCAGCCAGTGGCATGTGAAACTTAAGGATAGCCTTGGCTGCAG